TCCAACTTAAGATTCGGGCCGGCTGGACCACCGGTTCCCGGTCCAACCAGTCCGACCGGACGGTTCGGTCCGGGTTTTAAATCACTGTTAAATAGTATATAAGTGAGTAATCACTATCACCTTATAAGTTAATTTTATAGGGTTGAGTTAGACTCTTAATTCACTATAATAAATTAGTATCAAATCACCCACTATTACCAAGTTTAATAGTGTTATAAAACAATTAGAGAGTAACTTTCACCTTATAAATCTCACATCTCTTAAGAGTTAAGATGATTAAAAAAATAAACTAAAAAATATATAAATAGAAGACAACCCTCATCTTACAAATCTCACATCGACTATAGAGATAAAAAAAAGTATATAAGTTATGAATTTAGAAAAGAAAATTATAGGAATAAATTATTTAAAGTTTTACTAGCAAAAGATAAAAGTTACTAAATGTATGAAAAGGAGACAATTGAAAAAATAACTTTTAATAGCTTTTAAAATGACTACTAGAATTGCCACTAAAAAAATTAAGATTTCCCGACAATTTAGTAGGTCTTTACCAGCACTTTATATAAATGTCGGTAATAGTATTAGCGACATTGGATACACCAGTCATTATTTAAATGCTAGTAAAAAAAATAATGGTCATTTATATGGCCACTAAAGAATAAGTTAATTACCACAAAAACTTAATTTTGGTGTAGTGTAATATTCACTTGAATTATAATGATTTAAACATACTCTTTAACTAGTTGAGTCCAATTTGTCCTTAATGTTCATTACCATCAAGTTCGGAAAAGATTTTTTAAACTCTGGTAATCTCATTCTGTTTTGTATTTTAAATTACAAAGGTTCAGGGAATTAAGAACGACAGTGACATGCATTAGGATCCAAAAACATGTCAATTATAAAAACAAAAAATGCAGAAATACAAATAATAGTTTATGTTTAATGTGATCAAAATAGACGCATATAGAATGCAAACATGCACAAACAAAAATGCAGAAATACAAATAATAGCTTATGTTTAATGTGATCAAAATAGACCCATATAGAATGCAAACATGCTCAAAAGGCAAAGTTATCAACAAATTGTTGGTTCAAAAATTTATTTCCTAAAATTTTAAGTTGAAATATTGGGAATAAAAAAAATATAATTAATAGAGGATATTTATTAAAGATGATTAATCAGATTTTTTTAAAAAAATTAGATATCAATAACGTTGGTATATATTTTATTTCAATAACATGACTACTAAAAAAAATGCACATAGTCAGGAAAAAATAAGCTAATCATGTGTTTGGAGTCTTAAAAAAACATATTCACAGAGGGTGTTTACATAAAGGAAGAAAATGGGGGAAAAAAGAGAAATTTATCCCTCCCTTCATAGTAATGCTATACTACATCTATTTTTTTCAAAAAAAAGGGGAAATTTATCCCTTTATCTATTATTATTATTATTATTATTATTTATTATTATTATTATTATTATAATAAAGGGGATTAGATTTTTTTATGTATGTAATTTTTGTCTAATTTTATCTTATATTCTTTTATATATTATAAATTTTTTATTCTTTTCTATAAATTTTACTCTATAACTACCTATATTTTAAATAATCACCCATTATTATATAATTTTTTATTATTTATTATTTTTAAAATAATTCACAAGACATTTTTTTATTCTGTTTAATTTATTTTAGTCTCTTTATTATTAAAATTTTTAATTTTAAAAATTAGAGAAATTACTATACTCTTATATATTTAAAGGATTTTGGATCTGTTGTTTTTTTTTCTTTCATGTACAATATATCAACAATTGATTTTAGAATTATTTGATTTTTAAGAGATTCTTTTCACTTGTGTGTAAATTATTTATACCTATTATAAAGGAAATAAGTTTTGATAACCATCCTTTTAATTTTCATTTTTATACCAGACACTATTACTTTTAGATTTAACAAAATTTATTCTTTCAAAAAAATTTCATAAATAAATTTTCAATTTTTATCAGACACTATTACTCTTAGATTTAATAAAATTTATTCTTTCAAAAAAAATTCAAAAATAAATATATAGAGGCATGAAGTGGCTCTTTCTCTACTAATAAAAAATAAGTTGAATAAAAATTCATAAATTCTTCCTTTATTTCAACAAATAGAATTTTATTATATTTTTTCTCAAAGTTATTTTAATCTTTACAAAATAACTTGAAACACTTGACTATATCAAAACACTCCAATTTACGAGAGGATCATACTAATTCTAAAAAAAAAAGAAAATTAGAATATTATCCTTTCTGTCCGATTAAAGTAACGTTGTCAGTTATATAAATTTTGGCTATTTTGATTTACACGTAGAAGTATCGGGTTTTAAAATTTATATTTCTAACAATTCCCTGCTGCAAAATCAACTTCATCACATTCATTGGTTATAATCAGGTTTAATTTGATAACAACATATACTATTGGTATATTTTATTATAATCCTAATTAGTTCCTAAAACAAAGATAATCCTAGTTATAATTTGCTATATCTACCTAAAAGATAAGTGAGTGTGTTAGAAGATATATATGAAATGAAAGTAGTTTGTACTTAACATACTAATATTAAATATCTCTTAAATAGTGTAAAATAATCTTAAATATAAAAAGTTATGGATAGGAGAAAGTAATAATTATTGCTTTAAGTGAGAAACAATAAATCCAAATCAAATAGATTGATAGTAATAATTATACATACAGATATAGATAGACAGCAATATCCAACCACATAGCATATAGCCTCACGCTATGTGCTTGAGGTAGTTTGTCTTTCTGTTAAAGCAAGGTATAGAAAAGAAAATATTCCATTTAGCTTTAAAGGCTTCCAAATTCATATTCCAAATGAATTTATTCCCTACTTTATCATATATGGCTTCCCTCACACTACAAGAGAAAGACCAAAAAGAATTTCACTCCACCACACACCCCCAATTATTCACTCTTGTTTGATTAGCAATGACTAGTTCTAAGAAGCTGGAAGTTCACACAGATGATCAAACTCCACATAAATGGTGCACTCCTTTGGGAGAAGAGGTTTTCAAGAGATTCTTCAGCCAGGCTAATCCAACAGTGCACAAGATTTTTGGTGAAGGGTCACTTTTCAGTCCAATGTTGTTTGGAAAGTTCTTTGATCCTTCTGATGCATTCCCTCTATGGGAGTTTGAGTCTGATATCTTGCTATCTCATCTGAGGAGCTCCAACCAAAAGACTGTGGATTGGTATCAAACAGATGAAGGGTACATGTTGAAGGCAGAAGTACCAGGTAAGATAAATTACTACAATTTCTCACCAACCAACAAAACTTATGGTGTTTTATGATTGTTTTTATAGATTGAATCTGTGTTAAAACAATTAGTTTAATAGCTATATGGTGTGAAAGTTTACTTTGCTGTTAGTGTAAAAATAACAAATTTATATTTCATATATAATTGTTTGCCATGGTTTTAAGATAAAAACCTTTTTAATGCATATATTGTTTATCCAAAAACAAATCATAAAACAAAGAAGCCTTTCCCCTCATTAAAAGTGAAAGTCTTAGAACTTGGAGGAACTATATATTTTCATGATTTCTTTTGATGATCAAGGAAAAGGGTATATATTTTCATGACTTAACAGCACAATTATTTGGAAGGAAAAGTATAAGTGGACGTCCAAATAATAGACACCTAGTGAGAGAGAGAAAGAAAAAAGAGAAAAAAATACAAGTATAGTAAATAATATTATTATTATATAATAAGAAGAGAAAAATAGAAAGAAATTAGATATATTGATAAGATGTTTAAACTAAAACAATAAGGTGTTCAAAAATCATTGCGCTGCTTAGAAATAAGGGAAATGTCCACCCATGTATTAAAATGTTCTATACCAAGTTATGGTCAGATATTTAAAAATGTGATTAAGTCTAAGTATACTTATATTGGATCCATCAACCAAATGAAATTAAGTTGTTATGAGTTTGGAATGAGATCAACACTTTTTTTCCCCTTTTTTTTGGGCTAAAGTTCAAAAGGCCTAGCCTTGTTTCAAAATGAAAGAAGCCCTTGACTAGAACCTTTTTTTATTTTTATTTTTTTAATGTGACACTTTTGTTAAAACAGGAAGTGGGTTAAGTAGCATTGAAGTCCATGTTGATAATGGGAAGGTTGTGGAAATTAGTGGACAATGGAAGCCCCAAAGAGACTCAAAGGCAAATGATTGGAGGTGTGGCCATTGGTGGGAATATGGATATGTTCGAAGACTAGAGATGCCAGAGGATGCAGATTTGAAGATTGTTGAAGCTCACATATATAATACCAGATTTTTGGAACTACGAATACCAAAGTGCCCTCAGGGAAAGCATGTGGTTTCAAGCAGTGTAAATTAAGACATTAGTACAATCACATTTAGCTATATATAGTACAGTTTGTCATACTGTAGTTGACAACTTGACATAATTAACAAAGAACAATCTAAAACTGTACAACAATACTATTTGGCATGAATGGAATTTTGTAAAATGTGTTACGAATGATTCTCCTAATTGATTAGGAGAATGATTGGTATCTGAGTTAGAGAAATGTTGTTTCTAGGAGTAATTAGTTCCATACATTTTTAACATTTTCCATATTATTGTAGCATTCGTGTGTATAAGTGTTCCGTTTGATATATTCAATTTTTGGCATAAAAGAGTGTGAATAATTGAAAATAAAACTAATATAGAATATATAATTGTTAAGATAATATCAAAGTCTATTATAATGACTGTTGTTAGATTTATCAAATTACCCATTATTAAACTTTTGTTGGATTATGTAAATATTTAGTCTTTTAACATATAGGACATGTTTGAATATCGGTTTAAAATTATGTTCAATAAAAAAATATGTTTTGATAAAAAAAGATAAAAAAAAGTTTTTGAGTATATATGTTTTTTTCGATGCTAGTTGAATTTTCATTGCACGGCCAATAATTGACCAAATTCTTGAACAAAATGCAATAAAACAATGCTAACCATTCATAATTTAAGTTCAGGTAAATGTTGGAAACATGATCAATGGAAAAATAAAAACTTTGGAGACAAGATAATGATAGAGGTCCCATTAGTGGGCAAAAACTCTTGTTGCAATGAAAGTTACATGTGACAACAGTTTCACACAATCATACTGAAAACAAAATGCAATGAACAAAGTTGGTTCTTGTCATTTAAACAACACATTGGTCATGAAAACTATAATGACATGCTTGCTAATCCGAATTAATATTAGGCAAATTGCAAACATATTTTATTTGTTGGATTCGCTTGAATGTGAGCCTGATGACAAATGAACAAAAAAATAATGATCCTAAAACTTTATAAGATGAAGATAATCAAGATTATGCACCACATGAGAATCATTTAGAAAAGGAACATTCTCATCCAACTCTCAAACTCGTGCTTCCATAACTACCCTAATTCTTCTTACTCATTGTGTACATCCACATGCTGTTCCGTACTACCAAACAAAGGAAGCATTATCTTGTTTGCTTTGTTCTTTTCTCTTCTTGTTCTTTCTCTTTTAATTAATGTTTGTTTCAATAATTTAGAACCAACCTTATTCCTAGACATAGAATATTATTAGAAACGGTCGACAAAATAAAAATAATAAATAAATAAATGTAGATCATCATTTTTTTTTTCCTCACCGGCATCTCACTTCACATGGGGCGTATGCCTCAAGATGATGATTAAATTAAGATCATAATGCTAACTTGTAGCTTCATGTGACCACAAAGTTTTTTTATTTTCTCTTAAAAAATAAATGTCATTGCCGAGCTAAATTCCCATTTAACCCTTGTCTGGTGTGTGGAAGGGGAGTAAAGAAGAAGAAAGCCAAGGAAAATGAACATTTTTTTAAAGTATGTTTGGTGTAGTTGGATTGAGTGGAAGTGTGTAGAAAATTTGATGGGTCTCATATATATTTTAATCTTTGCAAATGTACGAAGATTTGATGAGGAGTTCTCCTTTTTCTTTTTTTTACCCTTCCAAGCATATTATTTACTTTTTTTATTAAGGACAATTAGGTAATTTAGTTTATAATATTAATTTTTATTTAATCTAATATAAATCAATTAAGCTAAACAAATTCGAACAAAATATTAAATTAATTATTAAATATAATATAATGAGTATTAAACATCAAATACTCATACATTAATGAAAAATTTTCAGACAATAATATAACTTAAGTAATGAAACATAGATTGAATCTTAAACTTCTCACTCCTGCCTTATGATGTGTTTGGATGAGAAATTTTACAAATTCAAAAAATTTTAAATTCTTAATATTTAAATTATTTTGATTTCAATTTCTATCATTCTTAGAAAATTTTGTTTGGATAAGTCAATTCAAATTTTTTTAATTTTAAATTATTAGGCTGAATATGATAATTTGATTCTGTCATTGTAAAATTGATTTAAAAAATATATTTATATGTTGATATTTTTAAATTAAATTTTATAAAAATAAATATTAGCTAATTCTTAAATATTTAATAATTTAAAAAATTAATATTAGATAATATTTAATAATTTTAAAAATATTTTTGAATATTCAATAATTAAAAACATGAAAAGATAAGAGATAAGATAAAATATATAAGTGAAATAAGAAAAAAAAATATGAAAAATTTTAAAATTTTTTTTATAAATTCTTTGTTCAAACAAGATATTATCTAAAAAAATTTAAAAAATTTTAAACAAATAAATTACTTCATTTAAGTTCTCCATCCAAACACAGAATCAACCATAGTTTTAAAAACCGGACCGGTCATCGAACCGGTTAAGGTACTGGGTCAGTGGGTCAAAGGTTGAACCGGTGGGTCACTAGTTGAACCGCATGACTCGGTTTTTACTTATTTTTATTAAAAATATATTCATATTAAATATATTTTATACTTATAAATTTTAATAAATTTATATCTTATTTTAAATTTCAATTTTTCTATCTTATTTAAAATTATTTTTATTTTTATTTTGTAAAAAATATATAAAAAATTACATATTAAACTGTATATTAATACAAATTAAAAATATAAATAATATGTACATATATAATATGCTTGCAATTGATATCACAAAATAATATATGTAATATCTACATATATATTATATTATTAAATATATAATATAAAATTAATAATATACTATAAAAGTTATTTAAGTTGTATATTATATAAACAAATACATTAGAACAAGTAGTCATTGTTATATTTAATAACAATCTTTGTTCTTCCATTAAGAGATTTAATTTTCATTATTATTTTTGTGGTTTATGGTCCCTTAAAAAAATTTAATAAAAAAAAAAAAGTGGTTGAACCGATTTGACCCACCGGTTCACCTGTTGAACCGGAAAATTAACCGGTTCAATCCGGTTTGAAACGGGTCGACTGCATAACCGATCCAACTTAAGGTTCGGATCGGCTGAACCACCGGTTCCCCGTCCAACCGATCCGATCGGCCGGTTCGGTCCGGTTTTTTAAACACCGGAATCAACTATCCAAACACACAATCAACTTTCTTTCACTTCAACCATCCACTAATCATAATGGTCAAACCCTTTAATGTTATTGAAATGACATTTCTTTTATTACACAAGAATTCTATCAAAATGGGGTTGGATGTGGCAAAAATGGAAGAGAAAGACTACTGAAATTGGTGATGTGACCAAACTAACTTGCATTGCACAACACTCAATCACCTCCCACCAAATACTTACTTTACAATTACATAGGCAATTGTTCCTCAAAACAGATAGAATATGAGACATTTGAGGAAAACCAAAAAATACAAAAGAATGGAGATGCGGGGTATCGATCCCCGTACCTCTCGCATGCTAAGCGAGCGCTCTACCATCTGAGCTACATCCCCATATATTTACACTTCTTCAAATATAACATTTTATTAAAACAATCAAAAACTAACATGCAAAGAAAAGATAGACTATAGTATATTAAGCTTGTTTTCAGTCTGAGTTAACTTGCAAGTATCTCAATTAATTCACTTTTCTAATACAGTGGAAAACATATTTTGAGTACAAATATTTTTTTTTAGTTTTCTCACTGATTTTATTAAAAAAAAAAAAAGTTTTCCTTAAAAAAACAATAATACCCAAACAATAAGTTTTACTATATTTTAAAATTTTACCTAAGTATTCACTATATAACATGATTTCAAATGATTAACCAAATTATGTACCAAAAAAAACTTTTTGTACCAAAAAAGTGATTGACCTAATTAAGATTCAAATATGAAACGGTTTGGCTTTGCTCAGTACATGACCGCATGCCATGACAAATTATTATTTCACCATTAAGTCACCTCCTCGGGATTTTCAGACTTAGCAAATAGAATAATTAAAAAAAAAAAAGTGAGTGAGGACTATGTCAAGACGGTAGATAAATAAAATAAAACTTCTTTGTCATTTACTGTACAAAAGAATGTGCATGTCTCAAATAAACTTTTGTTTTGTTTATATTAAAGAACTTTTTAATTTTATGGATCTTTGGAAGAACCGGATTCAGTGATTTAGTGAGGACTAGGTTAACTGAAATCTCTAACAATGGCCCATCAATTTCAAAGTGGCAAGTGTGTTTGAGTAAATTTTTATAGAAATACTTCTAAAAGAAAAAAATATAAAAAAATAAAATAAATTTTTATATAAATTAAAATTAACTTATATATATATATATATATATATAAGATAATTTGTAAAAGTTTTTTTTATTAACTTTTTCAAATCTGTTTTTTAATTTATACAAAAAATAGTTTTAGTTTATTAAAAAAATTATTTTGATTTTCAAATTTATTTAAACATGCCCAAGCCCTGGCAAGACTAAAGAAGTCAACCAACTAGTCCCATTTATCTAACTTTGAAAGTACTACAGTTCATAATAATCTTCCACATGCCTATCTAGCTATAGACACATAGTGAAGTCATTCAGATGCATGAGTATGCAGGCCACAATGCAAATTTTATTCTTTTAGCTGAATTGATTACTCTCTCATTTGTCTCATACCACTTTGGTGTTGTTAAAATATAAAGAGCTAGAGAAGCTAAATATTCAGTTTATCATGTGCAACTCATCTATAAAAAAAGATATATATAGTGGATAAATTCCAACAATTATGGAACTACTAAAAATAATGCTCTATAAACTATAAACTATAAACTATAAACTAACTACATGAAATTAAGGAACCCCTTGTGATTGGCATATCACAACACCTTTGTGTATAACACACCCAAATGATAATTAACCACGACATGAAATTGTGATTGGTAGATCAATGACTTTGTTGAGCTTCAATATTCATCACACCAAATTCCAAACTGACATATATTTATGCATGCATTTGAAGCCAGACTTGGTCTTGATTGTTATATATAAGATGAGAACCCCTTGTACGAATACTTGAGCAATATTGCAATAAGCACTACATTAATTTCTTGAGAAACTAGCAATCCTAATAAAGGAAATAGCACAGG